TAATTTTTATTAATATTTTTTATTAATTATAGGTTGTTTTTTCTAGTATAGGGTGTTTTTCTAGTATAGATTTGTTTTCTAATATAGGTTGTTTTTCTAGTATAGTGTGTTTTTCTAATATAAGGTAATTTCTTAATTTAAATTAATGAATTAATTGTTTTTAGTTATTAATATTTAATTATTTATTCATTTATAAATAAACCACATATTTAATAAAATCATAATCTATAAAATTGAAAAACTAAATATATATAATTAATTAAGTGGTATGAGACTTTTAAGGGGGAACCATTGGAGGAGAACTAACCCCTCCCTTAAAGTTCCTCCTAAATTATGGGACATCCAAGTGATCCCTTGGAGATGCTCTAAAGCTCTGCTTCCACTCAAATGCATAATATGTATACTAGTGAACATGCACATCAAATTCTTTTTGTTCTTCCCTAGTCTATTGAATGGACTTTGCCTCATTTGATAAGTAACTGGTATGCTCTGACGATCATGTGGAACAAAAGAGAGATTGTGCACAAGAATTCAGCAAATATAAGGTTCTATAAGTGTTTTAAAACCTCTATATATACTTAGATATAACTTTGTCAGGAGAAATGATTAGCAGGAAATAGTTTAGGCTATATTCCACTATTAGAGTACGTTTACATTGCTACATAAAGTTTGGATTTGAAAACCTTACAACAGCAAGTCCTTCAAATAAGGGACTTGATCAATTTGGGAGTGACATCTACACACGTAAGACGAGGATGTGCTTGCTGTCTTAGTGCATCACTTAAATATAACGGGTGGGGATGGAAATCATTTAAATCCTAATATTTTTCTGTGTGATAGTTTCATTCTACCTAGCACAATTTCAACTATTATGTATTTATTGGGATCTCTGAAGCACACACGTAATAATAGTATATATGGTTGCAAAAGGTAATTGTGAGGCAAGAGAAAGATTTGATTGCTTGCAGTAGTAGGTTAAGGAAGCTCTTTTTATCTTCTCACAGACCCTGGTTAATGAGTAATACTATAATTCTTCTGAATGTAAAATATTTATGAAAATGTTTTTCTTTCTTCAGAGAATACACTGACAGGGAGTAATACTTCAAGCTCAACTGACTCAAGCGAGAAGATTTCATCTAAAGCCACAAGTTCTCTTCCATCATTCAATAATACTGATGGATCACCTACCAAGTTGAAATCTTTCATCTAAAGCCACAAGTTCTCTTCCATCATTCAATAATACTGATGGATCACCTACCAAGTTGAAATCTTTCAGCTTGAATGAGTTGAAGGCTGCACTCATTCAATAATACTGATGGATCACCTACCAAGTTGAAATCTTTCAGCTTGAATGAGTTGAAGGCTGCACTAGAAACTTCCGTTCCGATTCTTTTCTTGGTGAAGGAGGATTTGGATGTGTGCTCAAAGGGTGGATCGATGAGAAGACATTTGCGCCTGCTAGACCCGGAACTGGTATTGTTGTGGCGGTCGATAAATTGAAACGGTAACAAACTTGTGTATTTTATCTTGGTGAAACTTATTGGATAGTGTTCTGAGGACGATAACAAACTTCTTGTCTATGAGTTCATGCCGAGAGGAAGCTTAGAGAATCATTTATTTAAGAGTATATTACTATTTTTGCGATGCTTCATTCTTTGTGTTACCTATACATAAGCTCATAATATGTACCGGTTTAGTTAGATTTTTGACAACCATTTTCATCTTTTGTAGGAGGGGCACAACCAATAAGTTGGAATACGCGATTGAATATTGTTGTTGATGTTGCCAAAGGATTATCATTCCTACACAGTTGTGAAAGTGCTCTGATACCAATTGAAAGCACCCTAATGCCACTAGGAAAGAACCCTAGAGGGGGGTGAATAGGGTTTATCTAATCTAATCTGATTTATGCCAATTTAAAACTTTACTAACAAATATATCCTAGCACAAGAGATATGAACAATATATGTGCAAGGATAATAAACCAAGGGCAATATGAACACAAACAAGATAGTGAGAATATAACCAATAAGCAATAGACAAAGGCGATATAAGATATGAACACAAAAATAAGTACGCCAATGCAATCACAAACAAACGATATGATCACGGAGTTCGATCCCCACGACCTACGTCTCTGTTCCTCACCTCGAGGAGATCTCCACTATCACACCGGGTTTTCTACGCTTACCCGAAAAACGTTTGCACCTCACAATATCGGTTTTCAACGCTCACCGATCAACGTTCACAATCACTCACAATGTAACTATACTAACTACCACCTCAAGTGTTGATCTCTAGTCCGTGTCTCCCTCAAGTGTTAGGAATTACAACCTCTCTTTAGGCATTACCACCTACCCCACTCCTCTTGGGATGACCCCATCTCTCACCGCACACTCCTCTTGGTGTACTAGTGTATTACAAGGTGAACCTCACAATTTAGGCATTCAACAAATGATTGTTCTCTAAACAAGGTGAGAACTCAATTAAGCATAACTCAAAGTTACAATCTCTCACAACCCCAATTATACTATGTATGGAATACTATAAGCTCAAGTGGGTGTGTGTAACAATGAGATTCAAAAAACAAACTAAACTCAAATAAATCTAGCTTATGGAAATTATGAACAAAACAATAAATAGCTAGAAATAGAGTTTAGAAAAAATTCTCTAATGATAACAAGAGAGAGGGAGAAGAGTGAATGCTCAAACACCAAAGGATGATCTCCACTTGCTCTTGTGAAATTCTCTTCACAAACCGAAACTTAAAAAATGCTTAAAAGCTTTTTAAACAAACTTAAACCAAACTTTAAAACCCTTGTTAAACACTCTTAAAACATTCTCTTGGTTAAATAAAACTGAGGATATGTGAGGGTATTTATAGGAACCCTAAAGTCAAGAGAAAACAAGGTAAAAAGATCAAAAACCCAAATCTGTAAAAGGCTAAAAAAACTAGCCGTTACAACATCAGTCGACTGACGGCTTTCATCAATAGACTGATGAGCTGACCGTTAGAGGCGTTTTCCAGTTCATCAGTCGACTGAAAAATCTTATCAGTCGACTGATGACCTCATCAGTCGACTGGTCAGTCGATCAAAACAAAACATAAACTTTTTTGAATTATAAGCACTTTCTTCAGTCGACTGATCGGTCGACTGATTTTATCAGTCGACTGAACAGTCGACTGATAACAGATATACAGCCTGTTTAAAGCAAAAATCTGATTTTTAAACTGCCTTAAAAATATCAAACAAATTCAGAAAAATATAAAACTTTAAAAAATGATTGTAGACATGATAATACGCATGTTACAAAAACTGGTTTTCAAAAAAATCACCTCCCAAATGTGAAAACTCTTCATTTTTCAAAATAGTCCAAAACATAAAAATAAAACACACTTGTTTTGTCATTTTGACTAAACCATGTTTTGAAACTTTATAAACTGATTTTATAGACTTGATAAAATATGTATAAACTGAAGTCTATAAACTAATAAAACAATATTTTTATAAAAACACCTATGTTTTGATAAAATCAACAATTACGTGTGTGTGATTAATATGAGCTTAAAGTACTAACACACATAATATAAAAACCTAAACTAAATATACTCAAGATTGTGATTTTCAACAAAGCTCTATCTTGGTACACTTGCGGATGAAGCGGGTACTTGGATCTTCAACTTGAATTGTATTGCTTTACTCCACAATTCCGACAACCTCCATAGAATATGATCGTGAATACTCGATTCCATCCATCCTCCAACATATTGTTTGTCTAGAATAAATACAAAACACAAACACTAGACAAACATCCATCCTCCAACATATTGTTTGTCTAGAATAAATACAAAACACAAACACTAGACAAACAACATTAGTTGTAAATTATTTGTTAATCATCATCAACACAAACACTAGACAAACAACATTAGTTGTAAATTATTTGTTAATCATCATCAAAACAAAAGGACCCACAAGTTGTAGAATGATGGGAACAGAAGCATCAAGCAGAGACATTTAATAAGGATGGTAGAAAGTTATTTTTAAAAATTGATTGATTGAACCAAAACTTGTGTGCATATCTGTATTGTGTATATTAATTTAGTTGTGTAAACAGTTAATGTGGATGACAAATATTACAACAAGCTTGACCTTTATTGTTTTATTGTATTTCTGGTATTTTTGCTACCATATATTTACATTTTGTTTTGATACAACATATATTTAACAGGTTCAAATAAAAAGCTACATGTTTACTTGAATGTCAACAGGAAAACCTAGTACTTAACATGTACATTTGACAAATTAACATATTCAGTTGCATGTTATCATGTTATAAAGAAGCTGACATGCACTAGTAGAAAAATGGGTATCCTTGACGGGCTTTCCCGTCAGGGATGCCAAATTTCCAGTCAGCAATACATATCCTTGACGGCTTCCCGTCAAGGATATGCCGTCAGGAAAAGTCCCGTCAGGGAAGAAACATCCCTGACGGGTA